GGCTGGATGAGGCTGGGAGCAACCTGGTCTAGTGGAAGGTGTCCCTGCCCATGGCAGGGGGGTTGGAACTAGATGATCTTTAAGGTCCCTTCCAACCCAAACAATTCTGTGATTTTATGAAATGGACAAGTATCAGGGTGCTGTGTCTTCCCACGGCTCCAGAGCATTTGATTAAGCAGCAACGTAGTGCAACTCCACGTATGTCCAGGGTGCCATTTCTAGAAACAAGAAAGCCATAGGCTCTTTAGCACTTTTCTCATAGAAAACTGATATGAAGAACCTGACATATGAACACAAAACCTGTGGCTGGGACACGCCTATACTTGAGATAAACACTACCAAACACTTCTAGACGTTTTAGCATCACCTCACTGCATGGCATGACAGCAGTTCAGCACTTAGAAATCAGCTGGTTTGGGGCACAGAAGACAGCACATGTGTGACTAGAGACCATTGCCATTACCATTTCAGAACTACGTTGGCAGGAATGAAAGCTTCAGAAGGATTTGGGGTCATCTGTGCCTGAGTAACAGCAAACGAGGAAGCAAAGTTATAGAAGTTATCCAACATCTTCTGAGTGAACTGGAATTAAAAAAAAAACAAAAACAAAAACAAAAAGAAGGTATTTTAAAGAAGGTCTTTTTCAGTTTGAATTTTTATGCCTAGGTTTAACAGACACACAACTCGGGTATAAATAAAGTTAGCACTGTCATCTAAAACACACCAGGAGGACATAGATAGTAGATCCAGGGATGTCTGTTTTAAATTGATCTAAACATCCTAAGCCTCAGATCCATCCAACATCCAGGAATCCTTTTCAGAACACTCATTTGCCCTCTCCCTGCTCAATTTCATCCAAGCAGATCAACAGCCTTGGGAAGAACATTTTCTTGTCATGACATCCCTTCTCTGTCACAAGAGCGGTCCCTCTCCTCCAAAAGAAAACATCAGAGCCGTAGACCAGGCCACAGCAAAGCAGGAGGCGTTCAACCAGCCAGAGCATCCGCCATCTGCCTCGTTACAACTTGCCGGCCTTCAACGGGAAAATTCCCTTTAGCTTTAAAGGGCTGCTACCTTGGCACCCTCTGCCACAACACGTTGCGGAGGAAAATGGGAAGAGGCGCAGAGGGAGTGCCTGTGCTGTAGGATTAAGAAAGTGAGTGAAAGAACCCAAGTAGCAGGCCCTGTGTGCAGAGGATGAGGCTGTAGGACATCCCCAGCCAGGCTGCAAATACATAACCCTACGGTACCGCCTTCTTTCCCCTCTTCTTCTTGGTTTTTTATCAACAGCTTGCATTATTTTGGTGGGAGACCAAACTGTTTTCACAGACAGTGAGATGATGGAGGAAAACAGAGCCCGGGGCAATATATGCATGCTCCCGTGCTTTCCTCCGCCTGCTCTGACAGAAGGAGCGGAAGAACTGATGTCCTAGAACCCAGGTGCCAGCTGTGTCACCCCACTGACATGCAGAGCTCTGGGTTTGTCCCCCTTCTCTTACGTAACTTCTTTATATTATAACTATATATATGAAAATACATGTATGTGTGCACATAATCATAAAGCTTTATAACACTTACTAAAAATGTAGTGGGAGAGTAATCCCTTAACTCAGAGTAACAACAGGTGATTTTGCCTTTAAAAAACATACTTCTATTGCTACAATGTGGCAGTTCCTGGTCTCGTGGAAGGTGTCCCTGCCCATGGCAGGGGGGTTGGAAGTAGATGATCTTTAAGGTCCCTTCCAACCCAAACCAGTCTGTGATTCTATGATTTCTCAAGGGTCAGTGGTACACTTGGCTTATTCACCTCCATTCATGCCTGTGTCTGCCTTGACGTTTGGGTCATTTTTTACCATCCCTGCAAGTCTATGCACTGCGGTAGTCAGCACCTACAAACCACCAGAAGATCCACTGTCTCTTATACACATTCAGTCATAGGTGCTCCTGCAAGGACGCATCGTAAGTATTTTTACAGTAGAGTGACACTGACACAAGTCAGTCTATTGGCCTGACTCCACTGAATCCAATTCTTTACAGGAGACAGTTTTCCAGTATAAGAAAAAGTCATTTCAACACATGAAAGCATCCAACCAAACAATTTGACAACGATTAGGCTGATTACAATCCTATAGCCACCTACAGCTTTTTTTTTTTTTAATTAGTTTTTCACAGGCCCAATTCTTACGACTTTAGTAGTTCAGAGAATTTCTGAAAACAGAATGTTTGAGCTACCTCTGTGAATGAATCTACTGATGACACAGCAGCACTTGCAACAGGAGTCTGCTGGGCCAGGTTCTCCAGCAGTTCCACTGAGATCCCAATCTGGGCCACCGTTGGCGTCTGAGGGAGGTTCATGGCACCAAAAGGATGTTGACTTCCCTTCCCTGAAAAGGGCCACAAACAGCACATGTTAGATTTGGCACACGTGACGACTGCATGACACTTTCTTCCTCAACTCCCACCAGAAAGATCTCCCTGTCTCAAATACATAAAAAAAATCAGTCCATGCACAAGAAATGAAACAGCGTAATAAGTATATTTAAAAAAAACCCACAGTAGATCTTAAAGAAGTTTCTAAGGAAAGGAGAAACATTATTTTAAAGCTCCCTATGAAGTAAATGAGTTCAACAGGAAGTATGATCTGTGAGTGAACAACAGCAGAACCTTTTACCACAGGAACCAAGCCTATAATTCACGTTGTAGCAATTGCAGATGAACAGGAAAGATTCACTCATTCAAAGTAGGTGCCTGTGAACCTGTTTGTGCACTGGGAAAAAAAAAAAAACACCGAACATTTACTTCAAGACCCCTCTGACTCAAAGGTATCCCTGTGGAGGGCTCGACAGCCCCAAATCTCATCTGAACTGCTCAAAACCACCAACAGCAGCAAGGGTCAAAGGAATAGCCATGAAACAAAGGCCTCTGACTTCACCAGAGCCACAAAATAACAATGAATTGGGCAGAAAACTGCCCCCAAATTGCATACCACTCATACAGGCACCATCCCAGCCATCGCTTCTGGCCAGCTGAGTATTAACCAGTACTGTCAGTCCCAGCTTCAGCTCAGTCTCTGCAAACACCACCAGGCATCTAGAGTCACTCAAATCATGCACTCCTCTCTGTCACCTTCTGCAAAGAACATAGAGGAGAGTGCTCTGGGGGACCACAACTGCCAATACTCCACCCAAAAGTTTGAGTGAACTCAATAGACAAGTACCCTCTTAACACACAAGTGATGTTTCAGTAGCACACTCTGGCCTGTTACTAGCAGGAGAAAGCAAACCTAAACAAAACCTGTCCTACAGACCAGTCAGTACTATGTTGAGCAGCAAGAAAGCCTAACGGAAATCCAAAGCACCCTCTGACTTAGTTCCATGGCCAAAACTCAGCCAGCAAAACCAGCACAAGTTTGAGAAGCTGAACTCCAGCTCATGACTGACAAACTCTGAAACCTTGCCATTCTTCTGCAGGGACACAAGAAAGCCAACACCCAAACCATACGGAAAGCACATTCCCAAACCCTGCACCCTTGCCAGCTGAAGCCAGGTGTCACTCCTCACTCCAGATCCTACAGCTGCAGTATCGTGCTACGTTTACAAGTAAAGCACTTGCTATTAAAATGTTACGCCTCAAATGCGGATGTTACATTACAGGGTATATGTTAAGTGGAGACAGAACGTTACACGCATCACTGCATGCTGCACAGCAGAAGTAGTCTGTAATGGAAAAGGCTACCTGGCAACTTTTATCCCACTTAACAACAAACTTCCAGTAAAGGTGCAAAATCCCAGCCCAAGGTTTGTTTTCTGCTTCTACCACACTTTCAGTAACAACTGAAAAATAAACACGCATTATAATTCCAAGGCAAGGAGTATTTCTAAGTGCCTTCTGTATGTGCAATCACATGGAGTCACCTACTCTCAATCAGTAAAAAACACTCAGAGAAGTGCATGCACTGAAGTATTACCAGCCATTAGTCCTCTCCCAAGCCAGAAACAGTGACAACTGCCAGCAATGACATTCTTCTAAAGCTTTATTATCCCGGCCCAAACCGCTTCCCTACAGCATGACTTCCTGCTTTGAAAAGGAAGGCCAGCAAAACGTTCCATCCACACCACCTTCCAAAGCACCATACCTGCGGGAAAACCCAGCAGAACCTGTCCTGCCTTCCAAAAGCGAGGAATCAGGAGGCCAAGGAATGAGCTTGAACTCTTCAGTTACACCATGAGATCTGACCACAGCTCCTTATGTTGAGCAATAAAGCTCACAGCGATTCCATTAGGAGTGCTTGATGAACAAGTATCGTTAGCACTGCTAGCGCAGCTCCGACAGGAACCAAGGCATCTTGCTACAACATCTGACTGCAGCTGCGGTTTCTTACACAAATGCAGAAATTGCACCATTTCAAGAGACCAATGCAGCCTCTTCTGCAAAGGTACAACACAGATTTATTCCTCTTGCACTAAAGAAGCCACTCAGCTTTGCTGAGGCCAGAAACGTTCTATTTTGGCTTGACTACAGGCTGTTAAATATTTCACCTGTAATGAAAAATCCAGAAGCGTTAAGAGACTGAAAGAATACGGGGGTCTGGGAAGTGTCCAGAAAACTCCAAAACCTCACAAACACACATTATTCAGCTTTTAGCATGGAATCTACCAATTTTGTTTGGGGAAGGGGCCAGAATTTGCTTTAACAGTTATTTCCAGCAAACATGAAGATTGCATCTAAGGAGGGGGAAAAAAAAGTCAGATTTAATGTTTATTGCAAAGCCAGTCACCATCTTACATGACGATATATCCTCAAAAAGAAATGTGTAATAATGCTGAAGACTTTAGGCCTTTGACTCCCAGACTTACAGTCCATACCAGCAGATGCAAGATTTGACTCACTACAAGGGGTCAAAACAAACACAAAAACTCCCACAAACCACACAAGAACTTGTATTTCTAGCCTCACAGCATAGCTTTTCAGAATGGTTAAGAGTTAGCAAGAACAGAAAAACCTGCTTTTAGATATATTAAGATTGGGCCAGACCCAGTCTAGAAACCTCTCATTCAGAGGTGACTTGAGCTTAAGTAGCACCTGTAGTCAAGGAAAAAGTGTCCAGGTTCATAATTTTGCCTTTAATCCGCAATTTGCTTTCACGTTGAAGAGTGTATTCCAAAAAAGTGATTTCCCCTTTAGTTCATCTATCAAGCCAACCTGCAGGTATCCCACTTGGAAACACTGCAATGTTCACCTACATTTGCTTTCCTAAGTCAGCATGGGACAGGAAGGACAGAAGCAAACAGAAAAACCTGGGGCAACACCATTTTACCTGACCCTGATAGTCCAGGAATCTAATACCACATCCCCAGATCGTGCATTTAACAGCCCAACCGTCCTTACAACGATGTGCAACTGTCCTGGGTTAAACCACGACAGGACAGTTCCAGGGCATCTCGGACACTAAGAAACGCTACATTTAACCTTCCTGAAGTCTGTGCAATAGAGCACTATGCCACTTCAGCTGGCCTCTCGCATCCGTGTAAGAATCACGTCGGCCCTCTTCATCGCACAGCAAGAAACTCTGCTACAACCACTGCTTCACAGGGAGCTAACAGGGATACAAATGTGTTCCTTCCAACGGGGGATTAAGTTCAAGCAAACGCAGCACACCCCAGTATTTTCACTCTGCGGCACAGCTATCAATACGTCTACGTAACATCCCCAGCAAGCAAGCTGATGTCACAAATACCTTGCACCCATGTTACAAAAATTAGACCTTCTCTCATAATTTTTCATGCACATATTCCTAATGTAACCTAACAAAAAGCTGACATAATCTAGGCACTTGTAAAAGCTCTCCACACTGATCCAGCTCATAAAGTAACAGGCAGCCTCCTTATTACAAGATTTTGCAAAGCACACATCAATTTCAATCTATTATTAATTCTCCAAGTTATCCCTCAGCCACCCCATATTAACCTGCAGTTGGCAGGTTAGAAACACGTGTGCAACCTCCATGTTTCTCAAGAGCCTCACCTACAGGTTTGCTTGCCAGTCCCAATGCCCCCAGAAAAAGTCAAAGTGCTGAAAACACCTTGAGAACAGAGCCACTTGGCTTTAAACGTATTTTACATGAATGGAGCCTCAGCAGCCAAGCTACAAACCTGAAGAAGCCTAACACTTCTTCCTCAGGGGATAAAACCCTGGTTCAACTATCCAAGCCCTTCATGGAACAGCACTGCTACCTACTACCCTGAATCAGGAGACATCTGGGCACCCCAATGTTTGTTGGGGGACATGCCACTGACACTCTGAGAGCCTGCTCAGAGAAATCAGCCTCAGGTAGTCAAACCCAAAACACAGATTTCAACAGTCAGTCATGTCTTTTAATGATTCCAGCTCTCTCTACTCCCTTACTAGTTTCCCCTTTCTAAAGCCTTATAGTCTTCCTCATCATACAACTGTTCATGGCCATGGTCATTAAGGCTGTGTAGCTCGTGCTAACTGTACAGTTAGAGAGAAGCTGTAGACAGTGGGAACAGCGGAGCGCTCTTGTTCAGATCAAGCACAGCACTGCCTCGCGGCACTGCAAATGCATTCAACCCTATCAGAGGTCTTTCTTGAGAGCAGCCCTTACTTAGAAATTACAGCTAATCGTGCAAAAAGCATCTGACAATGTGTTTTCCTACGAAGTTGTCTGAAAGCATATATGATATAGTAAGCCTTTCAAGCATGAGAAACATACTGCAAAAGCGGGCAGAAGAACCAGTGACGCACTTCACTGTTTGGCTAACAACACAACTTTGGACTCCACAAAAACATGCTCCCCCTAAACCCTTCCTGTGGCTGTTTACTGAAGAAAGCCCAAATTTTTGAGGAACATACATGATCAGAATTCATTTTGATCTGCACCTTGAGAGCCCTCTTCTCACATCACACTGACATCCAGGCCTGATTCAAAAGAAAGTGTGCCATGTTATGAATTAATACATTTTATCACAGTAAGGTAAGACTGTAAATACAAGTTAAGGCTGTAAGCTACACTGAAGCCTAGAAAAATGTGTATTACTTTATCACTAGAACATATTAAGCTGCTTGACTGACATAACTGTCCCTTTAATAAGATAAAGGTGTGCCAAAGACCAGGGTGCTTTACAACATGCATGGCAAAACCCCCATATATTAAGGAAAACATACCCACACCTACTTCAGGTAGCACCAGCATCCTCTGGCTCCCACAGCAGTCAGACATCTCTGACTTGGGTCCATATCAAAAATAGTAAAATATATGGAAAGCTGTTTTCTGATAACGACAGCCTCTACTGGTGAATTATATAGTGCAACCGCGGCACAGCGGCGATCCGAAATCACTGCATCAGGCTTTACTCACTACAAAACCTGTCTCTGCTGCAAAGATTACAACAGTGGAAGCCGAGATAAAAGATTGCAGGCATGTCCAGACAAAAGCCTAAACCCCATGCTACAGCAGTTACAGGGTCATTCTTCCTCAGGTTCTCTATGCAGAAGCACTGAACGCATGCCAAGGCTGCTCAAAGGGATTTCCAGACCAACCCCACATACAGAGAGGAGAAGACTGACAAATTTTGCTAGGAACGTGAATGTACAGACAGACTTGCACAAAGCTGACAGACTGGTTCTAGTACCACATCTGCTAGGGACTGACAACACACAGCCGTCTGCCTTTTGAAGTAGCTTTTTCTTCAAAAATGACCTTCAAACATTTATCCCCTCATGCATGCAGGAACACATCTGTTCACCAACCGCTATGTTTTACCAGTCTTACCAGATTTCAGACCAGAAATTTTGAAGATGGCACTTGGCTTGTCATTAGTGACAAACCCCAGCAGCTGCCACACTGCCATCCCACTCTGGTCTGGATAACAAAAATAGACAGATCCTCCCATTCCTTCTGGAAACGGTATAGTGCCCAGCATGAAGACCACTACATGGTTGATGTTTTCATAGTCTGGTATATCAAATACAAATTTGTCTTCAGCCACTTGTTGGGGAGCTGCTTGGACCTAAAGAGAACAAAACGTTTATTAGTATTACTATGTATTTCACCTTTGACTGTAACTGTGAATTTCCTTTTACAGAAATACACCTAAAGTGGAACATAACAAAAAGTGAGGAACGTACTAACCTAAATAGCAAATAGCCAGATAAAAGTCAAACACAGCAGAAGAACAACTGCAAAAAAATATTACTAAAAAGGCACGACAGTCTTGTTCTACCTGCACTGAACGTATATCCCACCCGGGACTACAGGATCAGAATACCTTCGCTCCCCATGTGCGTAGGAGGAAAATAGGGTGCAGAAGAGGTTGCCAAGTCTATAAGCAGTGGCTGTTGACCACCTGGCTGGCACAACCCCAGGATCATGGAAACCTGTTCACATAGGAAATACAATAGACCTTGAGAAAGGCAATAGAAGGATGGCTAAATGCCAGAGCAAAAGATACCCTCCTCTTTACCCGAGATGCCACATCCTTGCAGCCACCGCACAATCTAGCCTTAAAAAGCTTCTTTCAGGCTCCCAGGTTGTCTGTGAGG